GAGGAAGTGAGTCGTCAGTACAGGTGAGTGAATGTTAGTTTAGTCACTTGTGTCTTTATTTGCCCCCCCCCGCAGGTGAGCATCTACCTGCCTCCTCTGAAGACGATGAAGAACGTCGTGGACAGAATGAAGAACCTCTCTAACTTCCTGGTAGGATCACGTTCCTCCCAACGTCTCTAAAACAACAACCCCAGATCCATTTAACATGAAGAAGAGTATAAATGTTGTTTTAGATATCGTGAGGAAGTGAGTCACCAGGACAAGTGAGTGAATGTTAGTTTAGTCACTTTGTGTCTTTATTTGATTACCTGTATTTTATTTAAAGCCTGTCTCTGGTGGAGGTGTAGGTTTTTACTTATAGATACAATAATACACGTTTTCTGAAGGTGTGTGTGTGTGTGTGTGTGTGTGTGTGTGTGTGTGTGTGTGTGTGTGCGCGTGTGCGTGTGTGTGTGTGTTTGTTATCAGGTGATGGAGGCCAACCTGAACGGAGAGATGAACCTGAAGATCGAGACTGATCTGGTTTCTGTCACCACTCACTTCAAAGACCTGGGAAACCCTCCGTGGGGTAAAAACAACGTCACTGTTTTTATAAACATGCCGGCTGTTTGTCACTCAGTCCAACACGTTGGTCCAGTTTACTGCAGACGTTCATGGTCCCCAGAGGATGAATTGTAACCACTTTGATCATAATCTGACTTTTCATGCATTTCAACGTCTTTTATTTGGTCCAATACTTTGATTTATGAACAAATGCCTGCAAAAGTTATAATCCACAAATAATTCTAAGATGTGACGCTAAAATGGTGAACATTATAAGTGCTAAACATTAGCGCGTTAGAATTGCCACTGTTGGCATGAATGGGGACTAGGAATGGGAACTGATAGCAGCGTAGATGCAAAGTTTGACGTCAAAACTAGTTTTTACAACATTGAACTGTCAAAAAAACATGCCTCCTTCCTCCCTCCTTCCTTCCTTCCTTCCTCCCTCCCTCCCTCCCTCCTTCCTTCTCTGCTTCCTGTCCCTCCAGGCGATGACGCCTCCCAGGATAGTGGTCCGTCTCAGACCAGGGACCCAGAGGCCATGGTACAGGCCCGGGTGGACATCAGGAAGCTGCAGCAGTTCCTCGTGGGACAGCAGGTCAACCCCAGCAAGGCCATGTGCAGTAAGTCCACCCACAGCTCCTCAGCCAGCCACTTATATTTTAATAACATCAGCAACATACCTTCAATTATGATTCTGGATTAATATCCCTGGTGGACATTAGACAGAATGCAGCTTTAACACATGAAGCTTTGAGTTCACTTTTTGAACTCTGAGATTGCCGTCTGGCCCCCCCAACAACACGGCAAGCACATTGAAAATTAATTTCCGCCTCTGGATGATGTTTATTTTTTTTTTTTAATCCAATGTTAAATCATATTTTGCTCTCATCCCCTAAGATATCGTCCATGAGAGGGTCGTCCACCTGATCCTGCTTCATGAAGATGTGTCGCTGCAGTATTTCATCCCCGCTGTGGCGTAGACGCTCTGCACACAACACACGTGATTTCTGCTCATTGACTTTGGGGGAAGTGAAAAAAGGGATGTGAACCTTTCCTCACGTGGCAAAGGATTCATCTTTCACGTGGACCCCATGAGGCAAAACTCACAATATCTGGGAGTCTGTCCTTCACTTTAACGAGACTGAAGCTGGTTCCAGGTCTCGTAGTGGTCCTCAGGAAGACTTGACCCGCTGACCTGTGGTAGTAGTGAGGACATGCTGGTAAATGCACATTTATCAAGGAGGATTTGGACGGTTGAGATAAAATAGAAGAACACATTCATTGTTCAGATTTCAGATTGTTATGTTCTTGGTATTAAACATGTTTAAAAATGACAAATGTATTGATTTAAGTTTTTTTTTCTTTCAACACAAAAAAACAACTTTGCCCCAATATCTCCTTTTGGCAGTGGTGGGCTGTCAGCAGGGGCGGACTGGGGGGAAAAAAGTGGCCCGGGAGTTAACATACACTTAACATGATTTTGGATGATTACAAAGAAATTACATCATATATGTTTTTTTTTTAATAACATTTGGATCCACCAATTTGCCTGGATGGACACATTGAATAAAATGATACTGGCTATTGTAACACTCCAAGGTAGGTATAGTTTGCTTGATGAATATGCTTAAATCTGGGCTAGTATCAGATGGTTATACGCAGTGGAGCTGGTGGAACATGTCCTCTGTAGGGCTGTGCCACATCCAATCAATTTCAGCAAACATCCCAGAATGATTTAATGCAAAAAGATTAAGGTATCAAACACGTATTACTACTTTGCAGTTAAATATTTAACTTTTATTCCAACATGAAAAAAAGCAGTAAATAACACTTTGACAAACATGTCAGGACATCTTATTTGTGTCACCCACACAGGGAATTCAGTATAATATAATAATATATATATCATATAATAATATAATATATATATCGTATAACAATATTCACTATAATATAAAACACACACACATATAATTATGTATTTATAACTATATATCATTTCTCAGCAGGTGCTTCATGTCTCTCACTCCGAATCTCACTGTCCGTGCTGGATCTGTCCCCGTTGTTTTAAAAAGCTAAATAAGTTATTAGCATGACGTCATCCAGCTAGCCAAACCTCTCTGTTGTTCAGCTAGTGGAGAAGCTTCGCATGTACTGCTTCCCTTTCCCGCTAGTCTGCTGTCTGATTGTGCAGTTTCTCCGCCAAAATTCTCCTCTCAAACGGCTCTTGGAGGAGCAGTGCTCGCGCTGGCGCTCGCACTCGCCTGTAGAGACTAGTCTGGACGGAAACGCGCAGCTGATTCTGCCCCAAGCTAAATCTATTTGAGGACACTGATTGGCTAAATTGTATGTCAATCATTTATATCTTCAATCAGCATTAAAGCATCATTGGCTAAACTGCTTCATAGACCCGCCTCTTTGGGGCAGATTGCATGCTGGGTGGTGTGATTGTGTGTGTGTGTGTGTGTGTAGGGGTCAGTGTTGCCAACTTGGCGACTTTCTCGCTAAATCTGGCGACTTTCCAAACCCTCATGGCGACTTTTTTCGTCAAAAGCTACTAGCGACAAATCTAGCTACTTTTTCTGGTGTTGTTGGAGACTTTTCTGGTGTTTTGACTCTGACATGAAAGCACGTACCGTTCGGCACGCGGGAGCTGCCGTGAGCCCCTCCGCCGCCTCAAAGCACTCAAAGGTGATTAGTCTCACAGTAGCCCCTTGCGCTGCAGTCCCAGCTGCAGAAAGAGACCCACACTCTCCGTGTCCAGACTGCAAATGAATTGCGCATGCACAAAGCCGCCGCTGTTCCCGCCTCTCTCTACAGCGCTCATTACAATTATGCAAATTAGGTGATGACGTCATTTAGCGACTTCTAGCGACTTTTAGGACAGCCAATAGCTACTTTCCTTACTGAGGAGTTGGCAACACTGGTAGGGGTGCTGCCGGCTCGCAGATGGAAACCATGAGTGTGAATACAGATCGCGAGGAGTAGTATAAATCTCAGTCAGTGATTATGGACTTTAAGTATAGTAAAATTTAACGTATTCTGTGAAGCATAGAATGCAGTCGGGGTCGGCGATCTCAGAGCGAGGGCCGGTTGGTGATGAAGGCGGGCCCGGTATTGGACCGGCTCAAGCCCGTCGGCCTACCGGGGATTTCCCCTGGTATCCCCAATAGCCAGTCCGCCCCTGGCCTTCAGGGCCTGCAAAGCCTTCTCTGCTGGCCTAAACAGAATCACAAAGTAATATCTATTTTATAATTTAATATTTTTTCTTAAATACACTACATGTATTATAATTTATAAAAATATTTTCCCATTATCTTATTTTCTCATTGCACAGCTACTGTCTTCCTCAGTTGCTCTGCTTCCAGTGCAGCTTGTTTTAAGTAGAGCTTTTATCCAATCAGATCTCACCTCTGTGTCTCTAGGTAAGAACAGAGGCCCGAGGCCTGCAGACTCACAAGTGAATCCCTTTGCACTTTAAGTGATTGGGGACGATATTGTTGATTGTCATCGTCTTCAACCAATCAGATCTTTAGTTTGACATGTTGGGCGTATTCTTTGGAGTATCGGTGCCTGCTAGCCGGCCTATAATGACGTCAGCATTACGTGCAGCTCAGTGTCCATGTGTAGCTCTGCCGCGAGGTGCAGAGTGTGCTGTGATTGGTCAGTGGGCGAGCACGTGACTATCGTGAAACGAAACTTAACAGCAGAGGCTTAGTCGGGTAGTGAATCACATCACGTGATGCAGCTCAGCCAATCAAATATGGGTATTCTGACACGTTTCCTGACCTGAGTGAGACACACCATGACACAGGGGTCTGAGACGAGGAAAGACATTGCAGAGCAGTACATTCAATGTTTGAGTTGTAAAAGTAAAATCATAAGCCGATCTCTGTGGGTTGAGACTTGTCATTAAGGAATGATGGCGGGTCCCACAGCCAGACCGGCTGAGAACCATTGACCTATATGGGCGCAGAAAACATTATATTTTTCTGAATTTAAGCTTCTGCGTTTTCCAAATGCTGTAGCATTATTCAAAGGTATTGTAAGCCTCGTATCGAATGGTTTAATACGAAGACGTACAGCCTTAAAATCAAATAATGGCTGTGTTGCCATCATGTAGTTATAAGGTGGTATTTCAGCTGCAGGACAGCAGTGAAGGCCCAGGTATAAAATGCACGGCCCGCCACTGCCTTTTGGCATTTAGTTTGCTTTAATTTTTTTGTTTTTTGTGTTACTTCCATTAAATATAATATAAATGAATTAGATACAATTTTCATTCATTACATTCTATAACTTTCAGCATTCATTAAGGGCGTTTCTCAATACCCGGTACGAACTAGTGTAGGTAAGTAAATATATCAACTTAAACACTGTCTGCGCAGGCGCACTGTGCGCAGCCAGCGTCTCCTGTGCCAGCTTTTAGGTACAAGGAAGAAAGGAGGCTGGTGTGAGGAAGCTGAGCGTTTCATTACAGTAAAGTGTCACTCTGACAAAGAAACCCTAACCCTTAGAAAGATATCTTGGTTAGTTAGCTGTTAGTTAAGCTGCTCTTTAGCTAACTCAACATATTTATCTGATTAAGTTTCAGGTTGAACATTTGAAAATGAATAATCAGATTTTTCTTAACAACATTGTCGCTCTTCCACAGTCCTTCACTTCCGTTCACTGGTTGCAAAATGCCAAGTTGGCGATGGCTAAAACGGCTTTGTTAGCTTTAAGCTAACTATACCTAAAAAGATAACTAGGTTGAGTTCATTGTCAGCTACAATACTTTTCAGCTAACTCCCCCTACTAAGATAATTAGTTTCATTTAGCTTTGTCAGCTGTAAGCTGAAGACACTAAGATGACATAGTTTTCGTTACCTGTTATCGAGATCAACTACACTTAATAAGCTGACTAGTTTCTACATTAGCTGTCAACTAACTAAACGAACTAAGATAGTAAATGTAGTTAATTGACAGCTACATTACCTTTGATCTAACTACACTTACTTAGATCAATAGTTTTAGTTGATTGTAAGCTACATTACCTGTCGGCAAACTTCGCCTACCTGTTAGCTACATTAGTTTTTAGCCACACGTACTGGTGTAACAGTTATCATGTTGTGTTCACATGTAGTGTTGGTGAGAAACTTTAATAAATACAGTTGTTTGAAGGAGATGTTTACACAACATAAATAGATATTAGATTTGAATTAAAGCTGCCAGCAGCATTGATCGGGCCCTCGCACCTTCATGCATTTCGAGGGTACTGGCAGGACTCTGGTTGACGCCGCCGTGCATTTCTATAACCAGCAGACACTGCTTGCACTAGTTAGACGTATTTCCTGCGTTGACCAGCGACTTAGCAAGATCATTTTGCCAGGTCTCACCCACATAGCATTCGACTCCGGGGCGGATCCGCCCTCAGGTCGGCAGATCCGCCGTACTGTCTCACTCAGTTCGGCCATGCGCACCATGAATCATGGTGTTCATGTGATTATTTTAATGACAGCAGTCAATATAACAACTGAACTAATATTTGAACTAAACATTGATATTATATATTTAAATTATCCACAAAGTGTGCAGCTTTTGTCACTGCAGTCACTTTCTGGGCTTCTGGAAGAACATCTCCAGAGCCTCTTGATATTTATTTATTTATTTATTTACTTACTTACGTTTTTACTTACTTACTTACTTACTAAGATCAGTCTTGTACAACCAGGGGGAGGGGGGCAGGGCGTGCAGCACTCGGGCTCTTGTCTGTACTCCGTGCGCGATACAGAGAGCAGAGGAGAATTGTAAACGCGCGACCATGTAGAGACAGATATGACATGCCGTCGTGTAGATAAGATACATAACATAAAGCTGTTCAGTGTGTTTAATAAAAGAACGCGGTGTAGACCTGTTCTATAGGAAAGGAACCTTAAATGACCTCTGTTGTGATCTGGCGCTATATAGAAAATAAAATTAAACCACATTAATTCGACCTTCCGGGGGGGGGCGCCCCCCTAATATAATGTTGGGGAAACACTGCATATCTTATTGTGTGGTGTGAGTCACCTTACCGTGCTGTGAGTCGGTACATTTGGTTTGATTAATGGTTTGTGTGCAGTGGTTTAGTCTTAATTTGCCTCCATATTCTGTGTTCTGTGACAAATTCCTCTATCGAACCTTAACATATATTACATGCAACACACACACTGCCACATTGAATCCAAGCGGATATGATTATTAGGTTTGCATTACTGGGATTGTATTATTGAATATTTTAAACTGAGTCAGTTTATTGTTCCTATTCTTGTAGTTTGAGCTAGAACGTAAGAAGAGATATTTTGTGATTCTTTGCATTCTTTTCTTTGCATCACCTTTCTTTGCTGCATACAGTTCAAAAAGAAAACTTGCTGTTTCCATATTTTTAATGAAATGTGTCTTAATCAGTTGTTCAAATAATGTTTTAACCTAATTCTAATGTTCTTTTTTAACAGCTGCTGAAGTTCATATCATGAGCTTACTGGAGAACATTAAACACCAGTAAACTATCTCACCAACAAGCTGCACACAACTGGCCAAGAAGTGGAAGTGACTGAGCCAGAACAGTTTCCATTTAACTCACTGGAGGAAGTGGAACATGTTGAGGAATGTCTTAAAGATCCTCAACTCTCAGCTGAAGAAGAGTGGTAAGTGTTTGTTTTATTAAGCATCTCAATCAAATCTGATTACATTGTTCTGATTAAAGTCAATCTTGATTTGAACTATTCTATATTATATGTATTAACACTGGATAATACCCTGTCTGATGAAAATGTATTTTAAAAAACATTCTGTAAAATATCAGATGTTAACAATACTTTTTTGATCCATTTTAGATTTCCTCCCTCAGAGGACATGACACAAAACAGGTTTCATGGAACATCTTGCCCGCATGTTTAATGATGATGTTGGGAAGAGAATCAACTGGAAATGGATAAATGGGAGTTGAAGACGTTGCTCCTGCGTAAGTAACTAATATTTAATGAAAACAGTTTGAAGTAACATAGAGGTCTTAAATAGTGTTCAAACTTACAAATTAGTATGTTTCCCCAGATCGTCTCCTTTTAACGGTGCTAAATTCAATATTTGAATAGCAACTTCATTTTCTCATTCATATTACTTGACTATATCATTACATAATAGTTATATGATATATTAGCTCTGAATGTAGCATAGCAAACCTTTACATGTCAGACAGCCACTAGCTTTTAGACTGCATGTTTGCTATATGTTGCACTGAGGGTTCATGAGGTGTTGTATGATCTGCTTGTGTGGTTACAGATGCCGTCAGAAAGAATCATGTCTCAGGTGCCGCCACAGATGATGAGATTCTGAAACACGCAATGAGGTGGTTCAACCTGGCAGCAGACAAGGGAAGTTCCAGGAGACGTGCCACTGTCAGCATCCCTACTGAACAAGCCTAAACATGTATGTGTTATACATGTGATACATGTGATGTTATACATGTCGTACATGTGATGTTCTAAAATCCTTGTAGTTTTTAGTAAAAAAAAAAACTGTTTTTGATACTATTCGTGGTTAAATTTCTTTTTTTCTATTAAATACCTATTCAAAATATAGGCTGTAACGATTTTAAGATTATTTTTTGACTTTTTGCCTTTTATTAGATAGTCAGGATGCAGAGTTGGGATTAGAACCCAGGGAGCTGCTGAAAGGACTGTTTTTTTCTAGGTCCGTTTAATGCCATCATCCCAGCAATACTCCAACCCAAACTCTCCCAGCTCACTGTGCCAGCCTCCACCTGTCAGTGGATCACAAAAATTCCTGACTGACAGGTGAGCAGGTGAGGCTGGGAAAATTCACATCCAGTACTCGGACTATCAGCACTGGCGCCCCCCAGGGGTGTGTGCTCTCCCCACTGCTCTTCTCCCTCTACACCAACGATTGCACCTCAGAGGACCCAACGGTTAAACTCCTGAAGTTCGCAGACGACACAACGGTCATCGGCCTCATCAGGGACAGTGATGAGTCTGCGTACAGGCGAGAGGTTGAACAGTTGGTCCTCTGGTGTAGTCAGAACAACCTGGAGCTTAACAGGCTCAAAACTTTGGAGATGACAGTGGACTTCATGAGGAGCCCCCCCCCCCCCCCTCACCCTCACCATAATCAACAACACTGTATCCGCTGTGGAGACCTTCAAGTTTCTGGGATCCACAATCTCCCAGGACCTGAAGTGGGCCTCCAACATCAACACCATCCGGAAAAAGGCACAGCAGAGGTTGTACTTCCTGCGCCAGCTCAGGAAGTTCAACCTACCTCAGGAGCTGCTGATTCTGTTTTACTCAGCCATCATCCAGTCTGTTCTCTGCTCCTCTATCACTGTGTGGTTTGGATCAGCCACCAAACAGGACAGGAACAGACTGCAACGGATTGTCAGGTCTGCAGAGAGGATCATTGGTTCCAGCCTGCCGTTCAACCTGGACTTGTTCACCTCCAGAGTCAGGAAACGGGCTGGAAGGATCTCTGCAGACCCCTCACACCCTGGACACAAGCTGTTCCAACCCCTCCCCTCTGGTAGGCGCTACAGGGCTCTGTACGCCAAGACCACCAGACACAGGAACAGCTTCTTTCCACTGGCCATCACTCTCATGAACAATAAATAAGTTATACTGCACTATTACCACCACTTATAATTCATGCCATTGTCTATAGGTTTATGTTCACATGTATATATATATATATATATACACACACTTTTTCTCTTGAATATATATTTATACTTATATTGTATATAGCTAAATGTCTATACCTACATCCGTTCTACTTTTTTGCTGCCCTTTTTATTCTTTATACATATATTTTCTTGTTTATTGTAAATTTGTGTTTGTACATTGAGAGCGGAGTGGAAACCGGAGACAAATTCCATGTATGCGTAAGACCTTTCTGACAAAATTTGAGAGGAATCTGATTAATCTGTGAGGAGCAGGATGTCAAAGTAAAGAACCCATAACTTCCTGTTGCCACTAGGTGGCGCAATTACTATGATTCTAAATTGTCATACAAATGTCTACAAGGTGAGGATGTTATGACATATGAGAAATTTGGAGCAGATTAGACAATGTACGGCCGAGTTACAACAACTTCCTCTTTAATGGCGAATGTTGTTTATTTGCCGCCACGCCACAGATACATAGTTCAATAACGTTTTGATCTTTTGAGAACTTTTCACTGCCAAGGTCTCAAGATCATACTGACCGAATCTGACGTCAATCGGGTCAAATCTCTAGGAGTTCGTTAAAGTACGGCGGCTTGAAATGGTCAAAAAACGTCAAAATTAAAAATGGCCAGCTTCATGTTTGGTTTAGGGCATACTTCCAAGATGATTTTTTTTTTATACGTCCCATCATGTTACACATACGTACCAAATTTCATACAGCTAGGTGAAACCCAATGTTGGGGCTACTCAATAGGGGGCGCTGTCGAGCCAATTTTTCATCCCGCAACTGAACACCCCAATCAAACTGCAATTTTCGCCATGACTACCTTGCGTGCCAAATTTCAAAATCTTACCAGTATCCCAAGCACCTCTTTTTTTGCGATGAAACACGTACGATAATAATAATAATAATAAACATTAGAAGAACAAATAATAATAAACATTAGAAGAACAATAGGTCCTCCACTCCGACTACGTCGGTGCTCGGGCCCTAATTATGAGCTGTTTACGTTACCTCTAAGCAGCTGATGTTCAACTATGTTGTTGTTCCTCACAGTCTGGAACAGAAACCTTTACACAGAAAGCTTTTATAGATTTACGTTCATGATTTAAACATAAAGATAATGCAGCAACATTTTGACCAAAACTCTTTTTTTTTAAAAAAACTTTTAATTCAACGTGTTCAAGCCGAGAGAGACGCTCATAAACACATCATAATAAAAAGAGGATCTGTGTGAGCTCACAAACACACCCACACACTTCTACATGAACTCAGCTGATTGCCTGTAAATGAAGAGGGGCGGAGCTACAGTGATCATGTGATCCAGATACATGAGAACAGGGAGGGAACCCTGATGTGTTTATCAGAAAGTTCAGACTCCATTTTGAGTCACAGAGCAGAAGGAGAGAAGCTGAAGGCTGAGGCAGGGTGAGTGTTAATCCAACATTTGATTGTTTTACTGTCACAGTGTGTGAGTCACTTTTCTCCCTGTGGACTGTAGAGGACACACATGTTAGAATGAACGTCTACTTTTATTATACTGTGTGTGTGTGTGTGTGTGTGTGTGTGTGTGTGTGTGTTACTTCCTGTTCTGAGCTCACAGTCAGTAGCTCGTTCTACATGAGCTTCTTCTCTCCTGTAAAGTAGACGAGAGCAGCAGCAGCAGGGGACGTTGAACAAACACTGCGGTGAAGTCGGACTGTTTTCATTCGCCTTCAAAGACCAAACAGGAAGTCAAAGAAACAGTTACTTCCTGTTAGATCTGTAGGCTACTTGTAGTTTGCAGACCTCGTTCGGATTTATTTAAATGTGCGTGTATCTGCATTGTATCCTGTCCTGTTTTTAGATTAAACCTTCATTGCACAACATGAGACTAAAAGCCAACATTCGATTAAATATTACAATTACACTGAAAAATTGAATTTTCTACTAAAAGTGGTGTTTGTTGTCAAATCTAAGAGCCAATCAGCTCTTTGATCTTACCACAGCCAGGTGCCTCCCATCATGCCCTGGGTCATGCAGTCGGTTAAAAGCAACTACGGCGCCTCGACCTCGTGAGGTTACCCAGCATGCATTGTGATCGATTCTGATCAAGACTGACTCATCTCGAGCGAACCTAACGTTACTGTTTTACTCTCAGACTGATGTCAGATCAGAAGATGAGTGGTTGTGAGTCTCTAGTCTCCGGCTGTCTGTCTATGAAGAGTGATTGGTCCAAAGAAGAACCTCTGTACTTCAGTAAAGAACCTGGACCCTCAGACACACAGTAAGAGAACTTCTTATTCATACTCATTCAAACTCATTCATAGGAGTCATTTTCAGTTCCTGTACCTCTGACAATGTGTTCTGTAGATTTAGAGGTTTTGAGTTGAGTTTGAGGTTCTTCCTCTTAGTATCGGTGACGGCTGTCAGTCACCTAGAAAAGCTGTGATGTAATCTAAGAGGACTGATACAAACTTTAAAAGCTTCTAAATATCTGCAGTAACAGTAGTTTGTGTATTCAGATCTACTTTAATGTCTTTGTTGTTCTCAAAGATTCATTCTGAATAAAATCATCTTGATGTTTGCAGAATTCAGTCCAGACAGAGAGCAGAGTCTCCAGGATCCATCTGTCTGTCTATGAAGAGTGATCGGTCCAAAGAAGAACCTCTATACTTCAGTAATGAACCTGGACCCTCAGACACACAGTAAGAGACTGTTGTTACTGTGAGCTGACCTGATGAAGATGATGCATTGAGGATGAAGACTAAATGTTCTGCTCAAAGATTTATATTATAGTTTCATGAGATGAAGCTCAAAGGTTCACTTCCTACAGATTCAGAGCTTTCAGTGTGAAGCTTTAAATCTTGAGTAAGTGGACCTTTGAGTTCAGACTCTCTCCTCCATATATTGATCCTGAAGGTCTAGAACAAACATCATGAGCAGTACTGATGTAAAAGTTCTCTGCTGACAAAAACAAGACAGGAAATGGTCAACTGTACATTTGGACCTCTTCTGTTTTCATCATGTTTGAATTGATCCTTCATTTGATAGTTGACAGTAGAAAGTGACAGAAAACAGACATGAAGAAGGAAAGTGTGTGGACTTGAACCTGAGACTCCACTGTTACATGCTGTGTGTTAGACTGTTGGTCCACCACAACATGTAGACCTCTTCTAACCTCAGTTTAAACACAACTAACTCAAGCAGAGCTGATCAAAGACACTGTGACACAGTAAAGGACATGATCAGCTCTCTCTAATGGAGGACTTTAACTGTGAAGGAGCTGCAGGAAGTGTTGAGTTAGTTATAAACAAACTACAGACGGATCACTAAATGTTTCATCAGACAGCCTGAGAAGAAAAGCAGCTGATTAGAGTTCATGAAAGCAGGAGAGTTGAAATAAAATAACATTTTCATTACAGACTGAACGCTGAATTCAAAGAGTAACACTTTAACTGAGCTTCTACACACTTTAGTCCACATCTGGATATTTTAACAACAACCAACAAATCATTTTAGTTCGAAATAAATGTCTTTACAGGAAGAAGATGAGTCATGATTCTAAGGAGAAGCTGATGTCCAGAACCAGAGCTGGACTGCAGACAGCCAGTGAGACCAGAAGTGTACAAAGTAAGACTGTTCATTTCTCTGCTGATGTCTTCATGTCTGGAAACAGGACGTGTTGTTTTAATACAGAGACACTTGTTGGATTGAACGATGTAAACACACAAAGGAAGAAGGTCTCATTGATTCGTGATAAACTTGTGTAACAGTTGTGGATAGGGCATGGAAGGATACCACTCAAAAGAGTTTTCCAGCATTTATTTGCTCCTTCAGAAGACAATATAGAACCCATGTCCTTCTGGTCTCTCTCTCTCTCTCTCTGCACATCTGCTCCAGAACATGAACAATATCAGAACTTACACAAGAACATGAATGTCTGGATCAACACTGTCTGTGCTGGTGACCAGAGAGAAAGCTCTCTGGGTTCACATCTCACTACTTTAGTAGCTTCTAACTGAATCTAACTGAAAGTTACTTTCACTCATGTGTCCCCGTTTGTAGGTTCAGATATCAGCCTGATGTTATTGTTTACTGATTGTTTTAGTCAAATCAATATCATATCTTCTTTAAATGTTCTCTCTTTCAGGAGATAGTGGTCTGCAGGAGGTTTTAGAGGAACATAAGATCAGTCTGAAGAAGAGATGTGAATGTGTGACTGAAGGAAGTGATGAAACAGGAAGTGGAACCCTCCTCAACAGGATCTACGCTGAGCTCTACATCACAGAGGGACACAGTGAGGAGGTTAATACCCAACATGAGGTGAGGCAGCTTGAGTCAGCTTCCAAGAAGAAGACCCTCCATGACACTCCGATCAGGTGCCACGACATCTTTAAAGCCTCAGCTGACCAACAGAGACGCATCAGAGTCGTTCTGACGAACGGCGTCGCCGACGTTGGAAAAACCTTCTCGGTGCAGAAGTTCACTCTGGACTGGGCTGAGGGTTTGGAGAACCAAGATGTCAGTCTGGTGGTTCTGCTTTCGTTCAGGGAGCTGAACTTGATCAAAGATGAGCAGTACAGTCTTCTCCAGCTGATCCATATTTTCCATCCAACATTACAGAAGATCACAGCAGAGGAGCTCTCTGTCTGTAAAGTTCTGTTAATCTTTGATGGTCTGGATGAAACCAGACTTTCACTGGATTTTAAGAAGAAGAAGAAGAAGAAGAAGGTTGTGTCTGATGTCACACAGAAGGCATCGGTCAACGTGCTGCTGACGAACCTCATCGAGGGGAATCTGCTGCCCTCGGCTCTCGTCTGGATAACTTCCAGACCTGCAGCAGCCAATCAGATCCCTCCTACACGTATTGACAGGGTAACAGAAGTACGAGGCTTCACCGACCCCCAGAAGGACGAGTACTTCAGGAGGAGGTTCAGTGATGAAGAGCTGTCCAGCAGAATAATCTCACACATCAAGACATCCAGGAGCCTCCACATCATGTGTCTAATCCCAGTCTTCTGCTGGATCACTGCTACAGTTCTGGACCACATGTACTCACTGACATGTACTCACACTTCCTGTTGGTCCAGACAAAGAGGAAGAAGCAGAAGTACCATGAGGGACATGAGACGAGTCCTCAGGAGCTGACGGAGGCTGACAGCGAACTTCTTCTGAAGCTGGGGAGGCTGGCGTTTGAACATCTGGAGAAAGTTAACATCATGTTCTACCAAGAAGACCTGGAGCAGTGTGGTCTTGATGTCACGGAGGCCTCAGTGTTCTTAGGGGTTTGTACAGAGATCTTCAAAAGAGAGAGTGTGATCTTCCAGAAAACAGTCTACTGCTTTGTTCATCTGAGTGTTCAAGAGTTTCTAGCTGCAGTCTACATGTTCCACTGTTTCACAAACAGGAAGACAGAGGTACTGAAGGACTTCATGGGAGAAGACTACAAGTATTCATCCCTGGATAATTTCCTGACGAGAGCCGTGGAGAAATCCCTTGAAAGTAAAGATGGCCACCTGGACCTGTTTGTCCACTTCCTTCATGGCCTCTCTCTGGAGTCCAACCAGAGACTCTTAAGAGGCCTGCTGGGTCAGACAGACAACAGTCCAGAAACCATCCAGAGAGCCATCAATAACCTGAAGGAAATGAACAGTAATGAAATGTCTCCTGACAGAAGCATCAACATCTTCCACTGTCTGATGGAGATGAACGACCTCTCAGTACATCAGGAGATCCAAGAGTTCCTGAAGTCAGAGAACAGATCAGTGAAGAAACTCTCAGAGATCCACTGCTCAGCTCTGGCCTACATGCTGCAGATGTCAGAGGAGGTTCTGGATGAGTTCGACCTGAAGAACTACAAGACATCAGATGAGGGACAATGGAGACTGATTCCAGCTGTGAGGAACTGCAGAAAGGCTCGGTAAGTCCAGATATGATTAACTTTATGAATCAGTGAGATCAGTAGTTTAGTTCTTCTAATATAGACACTATGAAATTCATATTCTTAAAAGTGTTCCAGTTGTTTAATACAAAATTATAATTCAGTTGTATTTCATCACAGATGTTCTTGATGTTTCAAATGCTGCGAGTGAAAACATGTTTCAGTTTCAGTTGGTTTAGTTTTCACTGTGAAGTTAATGAACACAGTTATTCTATTTATTTCTAATGTTTGTTATATTTTATATTGATATAATTCTTCCTCTATTTATCTTCCTTTGGGTGATGGAGGCGACGTGCAAACCTGGTGAAACTGATGAAGGACTTTAGACGTGTTTGAGCTTTTATCACATGTAGCAGTATTTTACAGTCATCACTTCATCTACTTTAGTTATTAATACATCAGGAGGTTCTACAAGATGTCTGACATCATCACACTTACAGATAACACCTGATTATTTGAACACTATGCTGAAGAGTTTAAATAACATCTGTATCACGCCACACCCCTTTCTTAAAAATAGGACCAGAAAACAAAAACAAACCAACTTGAATTCAGGGTTCTACTTTAGATTGTTTACATACATTTACATGAATTGTCTTTTAATTTGTATTAATATAGACACTTCAGTGAAGTAAGATATGAGGTCCTAAAGTATGTGAATAAAGTTTGTATGACAGCATTAAGTAGCCAATGAGAGCACAGGAGGACACATGTTCAGACTACTTCACAGCCAGTGGGCTGTAATGATGGTAGTAGTGAGGCCAGAAAAGAGTCCATGTTTTCATACGTTGCTGGTTTCCTCCTTAAACTATTCAACATCTTTTCAGGTCAACTGCAGGATGTTTGTTTCTTTTAACCGTTGCCTCCAAGAAGGAGTTCAGATTTCCTCTTTAGTGAAATTCACCTTTAACCAGTTGAGTAATATGAAGTATTTTTATTATGGTTCACATGAAGTCCTTGTATGTCTCCTAAGATCCAGACCCTGTAGGGTCAGATGGAATGTAATGTACTTCTACTTCAGAGGACAACATTGTAGTACTACATTTACCTGACAGAGAAATGTTACTGGTTACGTTGAAGATTCACATTTGACTCACAAAATATATTAGAATTAAAATATGAAGCATTATTATTTATTTACTATCCAGCATCATGTTAGAATTGAAAACTCCACCTTTAACAGACGTTAAAAATAATAATAATCATATTTATATTATTCTGTATTTTGATGCTTTGGCAACGATCTTTACTTGATGTAAACATTTGAATGCAAGACTTTTACTGAGCAGTATTAATACTTCTACGAATAATAGTTAACACTTCTACATAATAAACATGTTTGAGTACTTCTTCTTCTTCTACTACCAAAACCAACATTCCCAGTTGGAGAAAGGCTGAAAAGTAAATCAACACAGCGTTTTCCTGAAGGCCTCAAATCACTAAATCTACCCAGAAAAACAGGAAGTAAATATTAAGTGTTCATAATAATATTTTGTAATATTTGTGTCATTCCAGACTTTTTTACTGTGGACTCTCAGAGGCTCACTGTGAAGTTGTGGCCTCAGCTCTGAAGTCCAACCCCTCCCATCTGAGAGAACTGGACCTGAGTTACAACATGAACCTTAAGGATTCAGGAGTAAAGCTGCTGTCTGCTGGACTGGAGAGTCCACACTGTCGACTGGAGACTCTGAGGTCAGTTCACTGACTGTAAGGTTTCAGGATTTGCCTGAAAACAAAAGCTGAATATTTGTTAGAGTAACAGAAAGTAGAGAAATTAAGTGATTGACAGGAGTTTTTAGCTTCCACAGACTCATTGTGGTCAATCAGTCAGTGAAGGTGATGTCAGTCCTAATGAGGCTGTAGAGTGTGTGAGGGAGATGAAGGAGGAGGATGAAATCTGATGACAGCAGATACAAATTCTGTGTAAACAGAGAAAGACTTGAATGCAAAGCTCAATAAAGGTGAAGTTGTGAACTGTGGTGATCTTCATGATATCAGAAGCTGATGTGGCTGCTACAGAGACAACCACACAGCTGCTGTGGTGAGATTAAAGCAGAGCTCAGAGTAATAAGCAGCAGCCTATCACAGGCCCAAACGTCTCCACAGAGCAGGCTTTTAGAATATAAGTCTGTTGTAATTACTAGAAAAAGATGTCAGCTGAGACCAGTCATAGTGGAAGTGGCTCTTCAATAAGTGATTATGAATGACATCATCAAACTATAGATGTTTAAGGTTCTAACATGTTTCCAAGTTGTTGTTGACAGCAGGTCTAACTGTGGTTCTGTTTTCATGTTTTGTCTCATTATCTGAAGACACAGACCATTAGGTTGCAACAAAAAACACATGTTCATATTCGTTCAGGTCTTTCTCAACACAATACACACGTGTCCAAATGTCCATTCAAGAGTTATTGTAATCTGTCCATACTGTCTGTGATGTTCAGGACTAAATCCAGTCTAGTTCTGTGTAGAAATGACTTGTAAAGTTGATCTGAACTAATCTGATGCTTCACGTGTATCAAGTCAGTCTGTTGTCTTGCTGTAGATGAAAAATAACTCGGAAAACATTTTGTGAGTGATGTTTTATATTTACAGTCTCCACTCGTTAATGTTTAATTTCAACATGAGCTGTTAGATCTAGTACGGCCCTAGTCCTATTTTTAGGCCTCTGCTCAAAAATTGCATACCCATACTAAAAAGACTGTAATTCTGTAACTACAAGGTCTATTTTAATAATGTTGATGTTATAATAAAGGGAACACTTGTGAGATTTGTTCAGATGCATAAATATCAGTGTATATGTTACTGGTTAATAGTAAATGAAGATGGCACACAGCTCAAATTGAAAATTTTCAGGTTCGCCTGAAAAAGAAGCACTTTTATTGATATTATTTCTTTGAAATAATGCAGCTGAAAGCCTAAAATAGCACATGTCAGCAGTCTCTATGCAAAATTTTACATTGATAAAGTGAAGAATAAAAAAAAAAAAGTTGGAGAGGTCACGCGAGGTCAAGCAAAATTGTCATTTTGGAACCAGCTGTTTTTATATACTATATATTTCACTTGTTTTATCACTAATAGTGTTCAATCTATCAAAATACAGCAGTTTGGCATCATTTTGAACTTTCAGATGCTCTCAGACTGTAAATCATGGCTCCATCCTCGTCTGACTGCAGTCTTCATGTGTGTATGTAACTCTATCTCAGCCTCTGATAAGTTAATTTCAGAGTATGACACCTTGTTAGATGCAGAAGAGTCTCAAGAAAACGCTGGGCGTAAACTGGTGTTGATTGACAGAATCGTTAGCCAGCAAAATTCAAAAATGCGCCGCTCCTCTCCGAGCTTAAAATTCCATTCGCCAAAAGTCAAACCCCTTTCCCCTGGGTCCCCTAAGCTTGGTTGACCCCCCCCCCCCCCTTTCTTCCGGAAACAGATGAGAAACACACAGGATATAGTAGCAACAGTGTTTAGCTGGCAAACGAGGAATTATGCCGTTCTTTTCATGATTCAGCGTAAAGGTGAGGTGCTGTTACGATTTTTTTTCGGTGAAGCGGTTTGTTGTTCTGCCGTTTGTTTGCTCACAGCTCTGGTAATCTGGTATCTGCTAATGGTTTCACGGAGAGAAATTCTGAAGATATCTCTGGATTCTGTGTCGAATGCTCGTGCTCTGAATTGTAATGGTCGGCCGTGTTAGCCGTTAGCCTTTTGTTGGTAGAGCTCTCCGGAGTGCGGAGCTCGCTGAGTCAAGGCGAAAAATACGTGATATTGTGGTAAATCTTCTTGTTGATTATATTAGTTTGTGTATAATTGTGTTTGCAGTGTGTGAAATGGTTTATGTTGCCCAGAATCTCTTCGTTAAGTCGGTATATAACATGTGTGTAGCATTCATCATATTAGTTTCTGAAAAGTGCATTGTACGACACGCTAAACTCAAGGGGGGCTCTCGGGTCAAGAAGGTTTTAAGGGGTGGGTAGCTAAACCATGAAGTATCTAATAAAGTAAACAGACACTGGTCATAAACACAATAATATAATATAATATTCCAATAGAGGTATGAGTTTGTTTTTGTCCAGTGCTTTAAGAGCTGCTTTTAAGGCTAAAGTCTGGTGTAGCATACTGCAAAATCAATCCATTCAACAGCTTCATACTACAGTATGTATTGTGTACTGTCTACATGTCCTGTGTACTACCTTCCTCAGCAGAACCTAGCAGGCGGGCTGAACACAGTGTTTCCTTGTTGAGCTCGGTGGAGGAAGAGGAACTCAAAGAGGGAATCTGCTCCTTAATAGTCTGTAACTTTGGCTTGTCTGACTCAGACTGCTGAAGCTTCATATTAGTTTCAGCTGAACTTGTGAAGTGATTTCTTCAGTGTAGTTGTTTTATGAAGGGACCACTTCACACTCGGTATGACAGGAGGAATGATTACTGCCACCAAGAACTCTGGTGATGGACAGATGACATGTCTGTTGTTTGAAGACACACCTGAACACATGTGGACCTCTCCTGTTAAAGACATGAAGCTACTAAGCTACCAGATACACAAAGAAGAAGCTCATGTAATCAATGAAGTCATGAACTGTCTTTGAGTCCAACAGGTCTGATCTGATCTTGATCCTCTAGTTCCAGACCTGACTGAGACCAGCAGCATGGTATTAATCTGTGTTGACATCAATAGGTGTATGGATGTTGTGGTGACATTTGGATGATGTCTGTAGAAGGCTGACATGATGATGATCCACAATAACACAATGACAAAGAGAAAAGCTCATTGATTAGGACATAGTCATGTTGAGCTACACATTTAAAACATGAACACATCTGATTGGATTATAAATGGATTCTCATCTTCATCATTTATTCTTTATTCAGGTTGAGGGGCTGCAGTTTGTCAGAGATCAGCTGTTCTTCTCTGGTCTCAGCTCTGAAGTCCAACCCCTCTCATCTGAGAGAAGTGGATCTGAGAGACAACAAGCTGAAGGAGTCAGATGTGAAGCTGCTGTCTGCTGGACTGGAGAGTCCACACTGTAGACTGGAGACTCTGAGGTCAGTAGAGGGTTGAAGTCAGTCCATGCTGGTTTCAGCAGTATTTAACTAAACACAATGTGTTACTCTCATGGGGGGTCCCTCTAGCTCCACCTTCCATTTTCACTCCCTAACTAACCAGTACGAGTTGCTAGTGCAGCAACATAAATCAGAACCCTTACAGCCAAATGAACAGAGGCACTTACACTGTGATTCAAGGTGTTTCTACTGGTAATCGAGCCCTGGGTTTCTGCAGTGTTGGGCAGGAAATGTACCACTGCCCATGGTTAGCCTAGCCTAGCACCTCAAATCAATGATTTACCCACTGAGTTCAGTTTCTCATCCTGTGTTTTCTTCTCTGCATTCTTTCATTCTCCCATAAACAATAAAAACATTTTACATTCAGTTGCAATCTTTTTTTCAGACATTGGACTTCACAGTAGAGTTTAATTGGTAGTTTGTTGCATTTTCTTGTCATGCATCTTGGATCTGGACTAATGACACAGAACCTGACCTGCAGTCAGTTGTTGTGTTTGCGGAGAGGACATGATACAAAGCATTTGATCAGGTTTTGTTAGGCTATTTTGAAGTTATTTTAAACTTGTTCCATCACTCTTGGCACTGTGTTCATCTCTACAAGATTGACGACAAGTTGATAACAGCTGTCAAACCTTCAAAGTGAGAGTTGTAAACAATGTCCCCCATTCATCAAACTATTGTACATTCAAGTCTGATCCTAAAATGAGCATGTCCTCATTGTAAAACAAACACATTTTCAATTCCATTTTTGTTCGAGCTGTTAACATCATGACTGGAGAATATTTAAGAATTTTGGATTCTATTTTTTTTTTTCTTCATTCTAATTCTTCTCTCTATCAGATAACGAACTGAATGTGCAAGAAAAGCTGCCTGAGGACGACAAATAGGTGAGAAGTTGTACAGTATCAAGTCTTCCAGTAAAAACCAAGAATGACTTTACTTAGACATTTAGCGACGATCCACCTCTGAGACATTTGTTCAGATCATGTGACTAACAGGCCAGAACTTCTGTGTCCTACAGGTTCAGGTGTCCTAGTCCAGGTGTGTTCCAGTGTGCTTTGACTGGACTGGTGTTTGTTAGGGTTCAGGAGGCGGAGCTGGTGTACAGGACTGTCCAATGAGATGAGAGAAATAAGACCTCAAACACCTGATGAACTGATACCTCCAAAAGCCTCATCAGCAGATCCACTTTAATTTGTCACATCGCACGTATCTCATGCCAAGTGTTTTCATTAAAATTAAAACATAGAAGAAACAAAAGCGTAAAGTACATGGACCTGAAGACCAGCAGGAGGTTCTAACATGTTTCTCGTATGAGTGGCGCAGTGGCGGGCCGTGTATTTTATACCTGGGCCTTCACTGCTGTCTTGCAGCTGAAACACCTCCTAATAACCTCATGATGGTGCTACGGTTATTTGTTTCTAGGAGTTTAACAATACACGTATTCGTATTAAACCGTTCGATACGAGGCTTACAAACCGAACAATACGTTTGAATAATACTAGTGCATTTGGAAAATGCAGAAGCTTAAATTGTCAATCGAAAAATCAATCATATCCATAATTCGAAATGTATCCATGTATATTCATATTCATACTGTGATATTGGCCGGTATCATTGTCATATGTTATTCACGTCACTGAGACAGGGAGTCTCGTATAGCGGCCTCAGAGAGAGGGTGAAGATAGAGAGATGGTAGATAGAGGGGGGATGATGTAGATATACAAATAGGGCAAGATTTCTAATGGAGGGAAAAGACAAGAGCCGTTCGCTGTGACAGGCAGCCAGAAGCAAAATCGGAAGAAGACGAGTGGGGAGGAGACTGGTTCATCAACCCTCTGTTATGACTTGTCTGAGGTGCACAGTGTAACTTGTTTAGGTGAAAGTTCAGAGGAGGAGGAGGACATATCCAAAGGGGGGGAAGACTTAGTTTAGAATGGAGGTATAAATAATGTACAGGGCTATTGTGAAGGGAGTTGACTCCGGACAGCTCGGTTTACTTGTATACTTTGTGATGCAAATAAATCTGCATGAACTAAAGAAAATCCAATCTCTCTGGTGTTCTGTGTTCGTTACTGAGTTCCTAACAGTGAGATCCTGTCTCACCACGAGTCAGAGAACACTTACTGAGCCAGCCGTCAGGTAAAGTCAAAGAAGCGGCTCATCAACTGAACAACAACTCCGTCACCAATATTCACTTTGTGTACAGAAGAACTTGTTGGCTCTTTAATGCATGTTTTTGTTTTGTAAAGATGTAACTCTTTTTTGGAAAAATGGACCATAATTTACTAAATGAACATCATGCTGTATTGAAGAAGACTTGAAACTAGAGATTGAGACCATACTGGCATTTTAATTCAGTCTTAACCTTTGATAAGAAGTTTAGAGAGGTCCTTATTTATTTATGGGGTGTTTTCAGGCAGAGGAAGAGTGATTTTAGCAGTCTTAGGCAGTGGTGGGACCATGGTAAGATTGAGATTAGGCTCCTTTGCCAGCAGCACACCCTCAACGTCACCCGAGACATCACCAGATCTATGAAGGACCTGGAGACTGATATTGTGGAACTAGAGAGTTTAAGCGAGTCCCCAGGAGATCGAGGACATATTGAAGTCCTCAAGATAAAAAAAAATGGCTTTGGCCGACCTGTTAGAAGTTAAAGTTCAGGGTGCACTGGTCCGGTCCCGATTCCAGACCATCACAGAGATGGACACTCCCTCTAGCTTCTTCTTCAGCCTGGAGAAGAAGAGTGGGCAGAGGAGGGTAATCCACTCACTTTTAGATTACACAGGGCAGCCTGTTGTGGAACCAAGCCAGATAAGAAAGCGAGCTGTCAGCTTTTACTCCTCCCTGTATACCAGTGAGTACAGGGAGGAGGAAGCACTGACGGAGGGGTTCAATGGTGAACTACCTCAGGTCTCTGAGGAGACCAACAAACAGCTAAACAGGCCCATAAGCGTGCAGGAGCTGAAGGCTGCCCTGCAGGGCATCGACGGCATCGACGGCCTCTCTGCGAAGTTTTATAAGGCTTTCTGGGACGTATTCGCGACTGACATTTTAGACATTTTTAATGAAAGTCTGGCCTCTGGTTCTATGCCGATGTCCTGCCGCAGAGCCGTAATAACGCTGCTGCCAGAAAAAGGAAACCTGCAGGACATCGGCAATTGGCGTCCTGTGTCTCTACTGTGTGTGGATTACAAGCTTCTGTCCAAATTCTTTGCCTCCAGGCTGAGGGAAGCTATGGAGCAGGTCATCCATCGGGACCAGACCTACTGTGTGCCCGGCAGGTCTATGGTAGACAATGTCTACCTCATTCGTGATGTTTTGGAGGTCTGTAGCTCTTTGGGTATTAACACTGGTCTGATTTCTCTAGATCAGGAAAAGGCTTTTGACCGCGTTGAACACAACTTCCTCTGGAAAGTTATGGGGAAGTTTGGGTTCAGCGCTGGCTTCATAACTAAGATCAAAGTGCTGTACAGTGAGGTTGAGAGTGTGCTGAAGATAAACGGCAGTCTGTGTGCTCCTTTTAGAGTGTGTAGAGGAGTCCGGCAGGGTTGTGCTCTGTCCAGGATGCTCTATGCACTCTCCCTGGAACCCCTCCTCATCAGAATACACTCTCGCCTACAAGGTCTGGTTTTACCTGGTTTTAATAGGAACATGATTTTATCAGCTTATGCAGATGACATCGTTGTTTTTATTAAGGACCAGAGGGATGCAGACCTTTTTAACCAATATTGTGAAAGATTTTAGCATCGGCAGCGAGGGTGAACTGGAAGAAAAGTGAAGCCCTCGCTGTCGGTGAATGGCGTGACGGTCTCCCAGTTCTTCCCCAGAGCCTGGTCTGGAAAAGAGACGGATTCAAGTACCTAGGAATTTATCTTGGACAACAAAACAGTCCAGAAGAACTGGGAGGGCGTCATAGAGAAGATCGAAGGAAAACTTTCCAAATGGAAGTGGCTGCTCCCTCAGATGTCTTTTAAAGGTAGAGTATTGGTTTTAAACAATCTTATAGCATCCCAACTGTGGCACCGTCTAACCTGTTTAGACCCTCCCTCAGGCTTTCTAGCCCACATACAGAAGAAAATGGTGGATTTTTTTTGGGAGGGTCTGCACTGACCGCCACAAGGGGTGCTGTTTTTAGCCAGAGAGGAGGGGGGACAGGGCCTCGTCCACCTGGCCAGCCGGACGGCCACTTTTAGAATTCAGTTTGTGCAAAAATATTTCAGAAGTTCGGATGGTTTAGTGTGGAGAGATGTGGCCAGCTGCATTCTCAGACGTGCAGATAACCTGGGGCTGGATACTGCTCTGTTTTTAATTGATTCTAGTATTTTAAAGGCAAGTGGGCTGCCTCCGTTTTATCAGGGTGTTTTTAAGTCTTGGGCCCTTTTTACTCATAAAAGGTGCCCACAGTCTAACTCTCTGTACTGGTTGTTGAGAGAACCATTGATTCACAGGGCCAAGCTGGACATCAGTAGCAGCATCACCCCTGGCCTGATGGGGGCGCTGCTCAAGTCCCAAACCCTGTGCTTGCAGCAGCTGGTGGACGCAGTGGGGCCGACACTGAGCGACGCCCCGGCCCTGGGCTCTCTGCTGGGTCTGCATTCTGTCCGGGTGGCGAGGAGGCTCCTGGAGCTGTGGAGCCAGAGGCTGACGGTGAAAGAGAGGAGCCTCCTCACGAACTACAGCCAAGGAAAAGTTGAGCCGGACCCTGCAGACCCTTTCCCTGAGATCTCCCTGAGCCCGGGGCTAGGGGAACTCACCGGCCCCCTGCTTGCTACAACATGTCCAGAAAAACTGACACTATACAAGGCGGACAAGAAGACCTTGTATTTTAACTGTGTGAAGGGCACGAACAAGAGAGGACTGTGCAACAGGCTCCCCACTGTGTGGTCAGACAGACTGGGACAAAACGGACCTGGCCCACAGTGGAGGATTTTATATAAACCTCCCCTCAAAAAACGGACTGCATTTTACATGGTGCTGTCGCCTCCAATGCTTTTATCTCTGCTCTTAATCCCTCTGTTCTTAGCCAGTGCCCGCTTTGTAACCTTAGAGCAGGGGTCACCAACCTTTTTTAAACTGAGAGCTACTTCAAGGGTACCGAGTAGTACGAAGGGCTACTTATTTGATACAAACTTCCTGAATAACAAAATTGCGTCTTCGGGCGCCCGCGTTCAAACCTCTAGTCTGGGCCTTTTCGGTCGGATTGCGTTGCCTCGCCTCTACCCCCGCCACCCCTGAGTTGTTGCCCCGCGGCCTGTTCCGAGGATTTACGGACCTGACGACGGGGTGCGCTCGCGGCTCGCGTCTGGCGCCAACGGGTTGCGCCCGCCATTCAGAACCTGAAAACCTAGTGCGGTGCGGCGGCCTCGTCCTGGCTGTCCGCCGTGCGCCTCCGGGAACCCAACTCTCTTATGACAAGAAATATTGTCATTTTAAAATCAACACTAATGCAAGCGTTTTTGATTAAAAAAGAACAGCAACTACAATTTTAGACAGAGCTCCATGGTGACTAGTGCTATTTTTAGAACATGCCTTGCGGGCGACTCACGTGGTCCCTGCGGGCGACAGGGTGTCGCGGGCACCGTGTTGGCTACCTCTGCCTTAGAGAGACTGTTTACCATGTTTTTACTGAGTGTAAGAGACTCGTTTTTAACCAAGAATGGACACACTCGTTTAGGTGAATTCTTCCCAAAGGCAGTCTAAAAACACTGTCTCATTTTAAGCAAACGTACCCACTCACATCTGAAATGAAGACAGAAAATAAACCTAAGAGCCCAATATGATCAGAATCCTAACGCATGAATTCACTGTCCAATGATGTTAACAGAGAGAATAGAGCTGAAACAAGTGGTTTAATAACCACAGATAAAGTCCATGCACAAACATTTATCTTGTTAGAAGATGAGAAAAATATAATATTGTGGCTTTTTGGATTGACATCACTTCACACCTGAATGAACTGAATTTAAAGCTTCAATAAATTTTTCTAAAATGAATTACTTTATTTAAGATGAACATTTTTCAAAAGCTTTCTGTTATGTCAGTTATTTATTCCAAACATTATTTTACTTGAAATGATAAGAACATTTATTTATGTATTTATATTATTTATAATCCATCCAGTTAAATTTGAAAACAGAATAATAATTGTTAAAATATAATTGATGTGTACTTTCTTTATTTGATTTGACAGTTCTTGACTACACAGAGACGTTACTATTACTAGGCTTCTTGAATATATATACAGTGTGCGTGTGTGTATGTATGTATGTATGTATGTATATATATATATGTATGTATGTATATAT